AACGTGTACATTAAATTTATGAAATTTAATGTACTTTTAATAAAATTTTATGTACATGTGCATAAATATACTTTTTAGTTACAAATACATTAAATGTAATGTCATGAAATTAAATTCAAGTTAAATTCAATTATGTAACTTAAAAGTTAATGAAATTTAAGAACATTTCTAACAGTGCACATGTTGTATTTGGACGTAATATAATAGTACAAGTACCACATTCACCCTGTGATGAAGAAATAACAGGCATCGAGCAGCAAGACAAAATTATTTATTTTAGCATAAAGTGTCACGTCTGGTACTCCATATAAGGGAATTTAGAGATATTATTTAGGAATCCTGTATACATATTCAGGGTTGGGAACGTTACTTTGTAAAAGCAACGGATTATCGTCACTTTTTAGAAGAAATAAACTTAACTCGTTACTCATTATTAATTTCTAAAAGTAACGTGTTACTATTACTGTTAACGAGAAAGTAATAATGTGTTACCTTTTTTATTATCCTCGGCCCCTTGAACGAACGTTTGTTTTCCCTCGATTGCTATGAAATCGAAGTGGAAAAGATATTTGTCGCCTACTCAAAAAGAAACTTTCGTCCACTTCATCCTCGAGACAGCCCGACGCGACGTTCTGCAATTTTGGAAAGTCTCGGCGATTTTTCCTCACGTACTTTCAAGCTTAATCGCGTCTTAACTTCAACGTACATCTTCAACGAATTTTAAATCTCTCGTACAAAATCATATCTACGCGACAAGCTTCATAATTTAAAAGTCTGTACAGCGCAGAAAGCCTTAACTTTTTAAACATTACAAACGACTTTTAAACATTACGAGAAAACAACTAACTACACAGATATTATTGTATTGTACAGTTGGAAAGTTTGTGTTAAGTTGATATTTAACATTTCTTCGTGTTAAGATAACACAATTTATGAATTATTAAACAAATAATATAAAAACAATGTAGTCTTAAAACATAAATTTTAAGATAATTAATTACGTGTCCCAAACTTCACTTCACTTAAATCTTTCTATTAATTTTATAAAAGATGAATATATAAAAATGTAACATAAACATTATGTAAAATTTGATCTAAACAATTTACATATAAACAGTAAGAGTATATTTCTTGAAATATAATTAACATTATAATATCTTAAATTAACATGTATATTAACTTTTATTTATTTATTTTAGAATTTACGTTTATAACGATATCGTTTTTTTACGATACTTGTTTACTTATTCATAAATTGTGCAATACTTTAATACTAAGAAATATTAAATATCAATTTAGAACAAAATATTTAAATAATCATGCCATGTTAAATTAACATTTGGATATATAAAAAAATTAACACAAGGACCGATTTTAACGCAAATACAAAATGTTTTTTTTATTGTTTATATACATACATATATTTGTATATCTTTATAGAAATAATTTTGTGTCATTTATGAGTTGATCAATTTTCATTTCAAATGCTGCTTTTTTGAAAATTGGATTACTTGGTAATTCGAAAACCCCCAGAAATGTTTGCACCAATTTAATCTTTATTGGAAGCATTTGCAGCTTATTTTTGCTCCAGCACTCTCAGGAGATTAACCTTATACAACAAAATTCCTTCAAAATTTACATTCGCGAAATATATTGTGGAATGCGACGTCGTGATCGATTCGCGGAGTTTACTGAAACGCCAAAAACCGTGTCTTGCGAGACTTCTCGATTTCCAGTCGCTTTGGGAGCAATGCGCTTTATTACGGTTAAACAGGCTGACCGAGCAGTATATTACCGCGGGACGGGTCTGATTTATTGCTAGGCAAGTCTGCCAGCCCACTGCCCAATATCCATACCCGGTCCCATCGGTGAACAACGCCGACGTCCCTATTCCCTCATCGCCTCGTCGACGCGTAGCTTTTCTCCTCGCCGACCGAAACTATTAATTCCCATCTCCCGCGGCGACCGACGCCGCATAATTCGATTCTACGGTATTACCACACGACGACGGAACTGCGAGACGACGCGCGATTGCATTGTGGCGTGCACGAACCGAGAGTTTCGAGCTTTACGCTTCGAAACCTTGAGTTCCAGAAGCGCTAAAAGTGAGCGTAATTTCGTCAAACTGTTCCGGCAGTCGTCCAACGGTCGCTCAATTTCGCGCAAAATTATTTATTTACCCAAAACTACGGAAAGTTATAATAATTTTGTTTCGACTAATCGAAAATTCTATAATCAATTTAACTAACTCAATTTTAACAATATTAAATAACAGGATTGGTAAAAAATGATTTTTTTTTTTTTTCAGAACAAAACGTTATGTTTTTAAAATACGTTTTTAATGCTTCATACATACTTTAAACATTATAAAAAAGAAACATGTTTAAAACATATTTAAAACATGATTTTTTATCAACTCTGTTAAAGGATCTGCCCAAGATATCTTATAAAATGTTTATAACATTACTGTGATGTAACCGGAATTATATTGGAATATGTATGGCGTTCTATCAAATAGATATTTATAAATAAAAAATATATTGCTTTCTAAAATATTTTTCAAAATTTCTAAGTTTCCTTCATAAAATCTGAGTATGACAAAAATAAATAAAATTATTTTTTTACTTAAAGTCATCACAGCGTCGGTTAAGGGGTAACGATTGCTTATTAGAGCTATTTTCTTCAGTTTATATTTTGTTTGAATAAATATGAATACTCGTTAAATATTCATAGTTTTTTTGTGAATAAATATTTTTTAAAAACCCGAAATTTTGAATGAATATATGATTATATTTTTTTTTATGTGAAAATTTTCAATAAATATAATTTGAGACTCAATTACAAATTTGTGTATCCATCGGGTACACTAGCGTTCAACAACTTCCCATTCATCTTGATAGTCATATCTTGATTATTATATTTATCCAAGATTCCATATTTTTTTCTCAGATTTACGGCTTTTACTGAACTTTTTTTTGTTAAATATAATAATTTCCGCGGTTATAAACAGTGCGGTTCATCGTATACAAATGCCTGAAGCTCGCGCGGAAACAAGAGGAGTCACAGCAACCGACAGGAGTCACGCCATGAAATTGCCGCGAGATCGAGACTTAAATGTCGGAGTAGGTCGATAGGCGGGCTGCTGCGCGCCGTTACCCGGTATGCCCCATTTACCCCGATAGCTACGAATACGTGTGTATTATAGCTCTGCTTCGAAACTCATCCCGCGGTGGTCCTCCACTTGCAAACGAAAATCCCTCGCGATGTAACGACTCGCGTTCCTCCGGAAGCGCAGGCTGCTAAGAATCGAGTACAGCAGGAATTTTACGAAGAGTTGTATATATGGACGTCGTCTTCGTTGAATTTTCAGTATGGAAAACGTACTCGATATTCCGCGCGATTCTCTCACCTCGGCTTTTTTTCTTCTTTTCGTGGAATATATTTGAATTATAGACGCGACTATTCTTCGGTTAGAACTGGACGTACTCTTGTCTCTTGACCCTTTTTGTAACTTAGGATGCGTTTCGTACACTGTTAGAAATGTGTTCTTAAATTTCATTAACTTTTAAGTTACACAATTGAATTTAATTTAAATTTAATTTCATGACATTACATTAAAAATTTAATATATTTATAACTAAAAAAGTATATTTATGTACATGTACATGGAATTTAATGTATTTTTCATAAATTTAATGTACACGTTCATTACATTTAAGTAACTACTGTAACTTAATTTTCAGTTAAATCATTCATTTTTTTTACTTTTAATTTCGTTCATAATTACAAGCTTCATTTACATGTAAAGGAGAAGCTCGTGGTTACATTTCTAACAGTGTAGCTATTGACGTTTATCACATAGTTGTAATGGGTTGATTGAAGAACCAGGAAAAGGTGTCGAAAACAAAATAATTGATACGCAAATTGAAGTACAAATGCTAAATTGAGGTACAAATTAAAAAATTGTAGCGTCTTATTCTTCTTGGAACTTAATGAATTAATAAATCTTTTTGCATACCATTTCTTTGAGTACTGATTCACGTTTTATAATATCTAGTATTTTTACAAGAAAAATATTGATTTATAGTTTTGAGTCTTGACACAAGTCAAAAACATCCTCGCTTTGCGTGGAAAGTCGAATGCCCCTTGGCACGGAAGCAACATTTACGAAACTCCATTCCAGCGATACATAACTTTGTGTAAACATTTTTGGTATTAAATTACGTACATCGAGTACTTCGTGTCGATGAAAATTCAGTTAAGGGTATTCATTTGACATCATTTGGAATATTTCTGCCAAAATTTTTGGCAATCGGACGCTGGACGGTTTCGGAAGTTCACCCTAATTGTTTATACTAAATGATTCTTGTAATTATAAAGATTCTAAATCTGTTATAAACGAGATAACATATTAAATATGAAAACAGCACAGATCAAACTAAAACAACATTTTAATTTTATTTTTGTATTTTAAAATTATTTTCAATTCAGGAACATTAATGAATATCAATACTAATCCATTTTACGGAATGCGTGCCGAAATTAAAAATACGACTCGGAAAGAGGCAACATTGTGTACGGAATCTTAAGTGGAAGAAATTGCGACGGATAAATCGCGACATTTATGATAGATATCGTCCCCGCGTCTGCTCGTAAAAATGTTCTCGATCGAATATTCTTACGTTTACAATCTTTATTCACAGCTTGACGCGCTTGAAAAAAATAGTAAAACGTAAAATCACACTTTAGCACCCTAATAAAGGCTGCTATAAATTGCTATCGATTTCAAGAATGGGGTTGCAGCAATAGACGAATAGCTGCTGCTGTTATTGTTTTTTTCCTGCCCCGAGAAACGCGATGTAGAAGCTAGAACATTTAAAACTAGCGCATTTAAAATGCGTAGCGTTGCGAATGCATAAATGAACGGCGAAGACGCTTCCTCATCCTTAATGACGATCTAATTCGAGTCTTCATGTTTTTTCTCAATCTTCTTGTTTCAGGATCTCCGCACCGTTCCAAGTGGTCGCCGCGATCCTGATCCTTGCCGCGACGGTGTCGGCTATGATCGGCCATTGTTATTCCGATCATAGGACCCTCGTAGCCTGCGGACTTTTCCTTCTAAGCGGTAAATACGTTATCGAACTTCCCTAACTACGTATTGTTCTTGGAATTCTGCATCGAGTTTTTTTTTTCATATAATATTAGAAGTTTCTACTCGTTCATGCAATTGTTATTTTAATTGAAGTATTAATTAATGATTATAATATTGAATTTTTTATTAAAAAATAGATAAAGATAAAATTCATGGAATTATTTCATAAGACACAAAATTTCTCACAATGAATCTTTTAATTTTTTGCTCTGTTTGAAAATCTTCTTATAAACTAAACATTTAATATTTAATTTCAAGTATATTAAGTAATGATTAAAAAAATTGAAATATTAAGTGTACAATTAGTCATTCTTCGTGCTCCCTCGCATTGTATAACTAGTCAAACAAAGACGAGTGGACTCTTACTCGACCCGATCAGTGTGCATTGTCTGCGTGGCGAGGAATCCGCTATTGTTAAAGTCTACGTGATCTAAGGTCCGCATGCCGTTTATGCCATACGAGTCGCGCGATTCTCGAGGTGATCAACGGCCATTGTTGGTTTCTCGCTGGCGAAGATGTGTACTCGATACACATCCGAGGATCAATCAACTCCACGTGACCAGAGGATAAGCTATTTCTTAAAATAAACAGTATAGAAGAATCTACCATATTTCTTCCGTTTTTCTCATCTTTTATTATTTTGTTTTCAAATTAAATATGGAAGAATCATCCAATTGAAAAATTTTTGAATTTTTAAGAAAATTTTTTAATAGATTGCTATATTTGAATAAATGTAGTAACTATAAATTGCTACATTTTAGATATTTTTAAATTAAGAACCAATTTTTGAATTTTTAGAAATCAAACAAATATTAAATGTAAATAAATTATAGAGGACAAGGTGGTATTATGGCACCCTATTTACATTTTGTACAATAATTATTAACTTTGTTAATAATCAATATTTAAATTTAAAACTTAACAATTACAGTTATCAAAATATTGTTCTAAACTTAAAGTTATAAAATATTTATTACTTAGGACACTATCTATAAAAATGTGACATTGCTCGAAGAGAAACCACAAGAGTGGTAATATGGCTTTCCACTAAAATAAATATATTTTATAATTAATTAACATTGTATCTACACTGGCCATATATAATACCACCTTTTTTTCTATAATACATTTCGTTTTGTTACTTTGATTATGTGACTTGTTTTAGTTTGTTTGTCCTCTCACCATCGATTTACGTTCAGTTTTAAATGTTAAACATTTCTATCGGTCTTGTAATAACGATCCATTATATAGTAGGAACGCATTGAATAACACGCGATTTGCCTTTACTTTCTCGATAACTCAATTCTCGAGGGTGATGTCTCTATTCACAGTGATATGCACACGTTCGTGCTGCAAAAGGGGTGGAAATGATCTATCTGCCTTTGCGGTATAGGGATCCTGTGCGGATTACGGCTGAAATCGGGATGCGCAGCGATCTAAACGCGTCGCCAAGAAACGCGACACCTTCCCATTTCCAATCCTTTCAGAACGTCGCCGCGATTTTCTCCTCCCACCCTGTATATTTTACCTTTTCCTTTTTCCTTTTTCTCATCCGGCAGGTGAGTCGATATCACGCGCATGATTCAAACGAAATCGAAATTCGGGCAAGAATGACACGGGGAATCGAATAGACGATGGTATCGTCATAGAGTTCAAATTGATTTCTTCCACGGCGAGAAAGAGGAGAGATAGCGGGAGGGTTCAACATTTTAATAAAAACCACCCGTGGTTTTGTGTCGTCGGTGTCGATAAAGAATAACGTTGCATATATGAGGCTAAAGTGGCGTCACGTGGACTATGTCACTTTCTTCCCCCCAGGAAGCCAAGCGCGAAAACGTTATTCCAAAATATTGCAAACATTTTCTTGCAACCCTTTTTTCCATGCCAAACATGTCATTAATTGTACATCCAAACTGCTTTTAACCCTCTAAAGCGTTTTTCAAAAACGATGTCTTTTATTAATTTTTCCAATAATTCCTTGTGATTTTTACTGATATATAGATGATTTTAGGTGCTCTGAACAGCTCTAAACATTAATCCAAATTTTGGAGCCTCATATTGTTATTGACAGGTGATATTTCAGATGCGGTCCAAAAGATAGCAAATAATGGATCGCAACGGCCATTTTTTACTGAAGCTATGGCCTTTCATAAAAATTTTTTTTATTGTAAATATCGTCTCTTATTATAAGTAAAAGAACCAAACAGAATTATTAGTCAACCCAATACTATTATACATTTCAATGCTATGGTATAATATATACGTATACATTTCTGTTCTTTAAAACTTAAATTAATTAATGTGCACAAATCCAAAATTAACTCCAAATTTATCCCAATTTTAAAGTGAACGTGTTACAAATATGCAACACTTGCCCCTAAGGTTAATGGCGTATTTTGGAGATTAAATGGAATTTAAAAATTAAGGAACATAAAAAACTGTTGTGTGAGAAAAATAAGCGTAAAGTTTCGTGTGAAATCTGTTACGTGTCGAACGTAAAGAAAGTATATCAATTTGTCACAGTTCCCTGCCGGAATCATTTCTGATATGACGCGGAGCAGGAGAATTATTCCAAGTGCTTTAAAATAATCTCTTACGCAAATGCGCTTATGCAAATCCCCGTTACGCTGGCGCTGCCAAGTGCATCGAGTTACAATCGTGGATGTGACATGTAATCTGTGACAAGTCTTACTGGTTCTCAAGATCGCTAACTTGTTATTACTGATGTCTGAGAAATTTAAATCCCGATTTTATAGATAGCCTTTTCCATTTCCATTTACGATTACATGTGCATTTTCGACCGTACAAGTATATGGATGAAAGTATTATACATTTATCTTATGTAACTTCTATCTAATCGATGTGTTATACCCATACTTTGGATAACTTATTATTCTGCGTTCAGCTGGAAATTGCTGGCAAAAAATGCTCCTTCTATTGGCAGTTAATTGTTATCGCCACACCGGTAGATAATTCGTTTATTAGAAGTGCATGTCGATATATTATATCGGGAAAAGAATATTTGAAGAGGCTTTGCTGAGACGTATTATTTAAACGTTCACCATGCTATAGTAAAATATCAAAATATAAATGGTAAATAAAATAAATATTTTTATTCAGTAAATACTATCGCAATTTTATATGGACATAACAGTTTTTTTTAATTCACTTCTACACACTATGTGGTAATAATAACTAAAATATATATGTTTAATAAAACTAAAAATGTTCAAACAGTGTTAACTAAAAATTACTATAAGTTAAATCATGATAATTGAAGCTACTTGTTCCTCTCAATACAGTGGAATATTTTCTACCCAAAATTCCTATAAAAATATCATATTGGTACATATATTGTACGCGGCAGTTCCGAAAATATCGAATTCAGATTTTTTGCTTGACAAACGACTATTGCGTTGAAACATCTCGCTATATATATTATTGTGCAATATTAATTATTCACGAGAAACGATCGCATTATTTTGTGAAATAATAATGTGACGACAAGGAGCGACTCATGCCGCTGTCTACTGCCTCAAGCTTCGTCGAATTGAACAACACAGTTGTTTGCATAGCAGAACACTTTGTACGCCGCAAAAATACTTAAGTACTGAAAAGCAGCCAATTATAACAGAAATATTTAACGTTTTATAGAATAAATTCGTTACCAATATTTTGTTTATTAGGTTTGATATTAACTTTGAATAAATTACTATCGTATTCATTAAATATGATATTCTTCTTTAAAAACTGATATTTACCTTGCTTTAATCAATTAATAACAGCAATTTATTTTGTATTTCTTATTTGTTTTTTTACGAGAGATCATTATTACCATGCTAATTATGTCATAATTTATCGGGCCTCTACAAATGAGGCATCTCGATGTAATCTTAGTTTGTGCTTTCTTTGATAGAAATTAAAAGACTTGACGAAAAAAACCTCGAAAAGCTCCAATTAAAATTCTGTCAGCATTGCCGTTCAAATTCACGTTTATAAAAATCCAATTAGAAATTCTGTTCAAACTACAGCGAAAATCATTCAAAACATTAGACGCTTTCACGTTTTCCGCTCCGTCCATAGATTACGAGAAATAAAGAGGAAAAAAGAGCGAGAGAGAGAGATGGAGGGAATTTATTATACATTTTTTACATTAGTAATTGCTATTTTCTTCAAGAGAGCTTTATAATATGAGGTACTTAAGAAAGATTTCAAACGAGCGAGCTTTGCGTCATGTCGGTATTTCCAAAGGCTTTTTAATAGCGCTTAAGAAGGATAAAAAGCGTGTCCTTTAATAAAAGAAGCTTGTCTGTGCGAGAATCTCGCAAAATGTCGCATATAAAACCGACACGAATAAAATTGAGAATTGATTTTTGGGAAAACTTGATTTCTCTCTCTATAGGTCAATTTGATGGAAATAGGACAACCCCTGTCATGATTAAATCAAGCGCAACAGTTGTAAAAATTTATTCTCTCTCTATATCTATCTATCTTGTTTGTATACATCATGTTTGTGATATATAATAATAATATTATAATTTATCTTGTATGGGTTTAAGAAAAAAATTATGTTCTCAATCGCTATTTGTTTCTTGTTTACTAAGAATATTAGAACTCATCCAGACAAACTAGCAGCAATATAAACGTGTGCATAAAGGAAATTAAATTTTACATGAATTCTTAAAATGTAAAAATGTTTTTTAGCGAATTCGAGTGGATGTATTCAGTACGCACTGGTACACTGAATTATTAAAGCCGTCGTACACAAATTGACGTAAAAATATGTGTTTAATATAAATATAAAAACGGATTAAACCATGAAATCCTCAATACACTTTATTATGCTGTTAAATAAAATCTGTATTTTGTATTCCGAAATATTTGCATTTTACTTTTACACAGATTGAATCGGTGTACAGTAGTTTTAATATACATTAGTGCGCGTAGCGCATTCAATCAAATTTATTATTAAA